CTGTTGTGGCCTCTCCCGTTGCGGAGCACAGGCTCCGGATGCGCAGGCTCAGCGGCCATGGCTCACGGGATCAGCCACTCCGCGGCATGTGGGATCTTCCCGGACCGGGGCACGAACACGCATCCCCTGCATCGGCAGGCGGACTCTCAACCACTGCGCCACCAGGGAAGCCCCAAGCATGTATTTTTAATTAATTAATTTTAAAAGACCTTTTTAAAAGAGCAGCTTTAGGTTCACAACAAAATTAAGAAGAAGGTACAGAGATTTTCCATATACCCTCTGTGCCTCCCCCCACGCACACAGCCTCCCCCATTATCAACATCACTCACCAGAATTTGTTGCCATGGATAAACCTACATTGACACCTCATTATCACCCAAAGTCCATAGTTTACCTTAGGATTCACTCTTAGTGTTGGACATTCTATGGGTTTGGACAAATATATAATAACATATGTCTATCATCACAATATCATACAGAGTTTTTTCACTTCCCTGAAATCCTCTGGGCTCTGCTGATTCATTCCTCCCCTCCACTCCACCCCTAGCAGTCATTGATCTTCTTACTGTCTCCATAGTTTTGCCTTTTATAATATACATATTTTTAAGAAGACCCATTTCCTACTCTCACCTCAGAATTTGATCTGTAATAGAGGTAAGCCTGTGGTGCTATGCAAGGGTCAAGGAAGGAGCCCTTGGGTTCCCTTGGAGGATTAAGCAGGAGGAAAAGCTTGAGGAGGTGTGATCAGTGTTCTTTGCTAAGATGTGGAGGCGGGAGTAGGGAACAGCAGGTGGCTTAGCTGGTTGCAGCAAAGGGGGTAGAGGAAGCCCCTTCCACCACATCACCCACCAAATCACTCTCCAGTCCACACATGCATTGCACTCCCAGCCACTCTGTGTTTGCCACCGCTGTGGCCTGGCCCTTACAGCGCACATCTCCCTTTTCTTTAAAGTCCAGCTCAAACGTTGTCTTCTGAAATGTTCTCTCCAATTCTCCTGCCCTCTCCTGCCAGAATTAGCCACATTTCTCTTGTACTCCTCCAGCACTCTGTACAGACCTCTGTTAATGCATCCATAATCTGTACTATGATTAGTGGTTATACATCTGTCTCTCAGTGAAACAGTGAGGACAGGAAGATAAGTTTTAGACATCTTTAAAATTTCCAAAGCCCGCCACAGGGCCTGGCACACAGCAGGGGCTCGTTAATGAACAAGGAATGAATAGAACAATGAAGTACCCACCAGAAGGTCTGGATTCTGCCTTGGACAGTAATTACCCCCCTCTGGAGGCTCAGACCCTTATCTGAACAAACAAGGGTATGGAACGATGTGCTCTGTAAGGTCCTTTCGTGCTCTACTGCTTTAAGATTTGATGACAAGGTAAACTGATTTGGTTGGGCTCCACATACCCAGTTCTGTCTTTCCTGTGTTGGAAAATGGGGAGCGGGTAATTTTGACTTATACTGATAAAAATTCGAAGTCAGGTACTGTATGAGGGGCTGGCACCCACCTGCCACCTCAGGATGCTCTGGAGGTGGGTCAAAGCCCATAGGCTGGGTACAAGGCAACAGGAGTCAGTGCTCCACAAATCGCCCTGGTTCCAGTGCCCTTGGCCCTGTACCTGGGCCAGAATACCTTCAGAAGATCAGCGTGTTTTCCAGACACCAGAGCACATCCCAAGCAGGTCTCCCTCTGTGAAGGAGAGATCTGCCCTCTGAACCTCAGCAGCTTCTTCTGTCCCTCTTGGGCTCTGCAGTGCCTCTGATCAGGGTGATGCTGAGGTGGGTGGGAGATGAAGGGCTGCCTGAAGCTGGCTGTGGTACCTCCCTGGCAGCCCAGGAGAGTCTGATGTTGGAGAAGGAAATAGCTAAGGGTACTTTGGAGTGGAATGATGATAACTAGTCCTTACTTAATTCATGCTCATTGCTCTATATGGCACACAGTACAATTCTTTAAGTTAAAGTGAAAAAAAAAATGAAGCTGTTAAAGTGCCAGAAAAACGGTGAATATTTTTATAAAACTGGAGTGAGGAAGGGCATCAAAGACAAGCAAACAGGAAAGACTTACAGATTTGATTAGATAAAAATTTAAAACTTTGGTATGACAATAAACACAAACACAAAGCACCATAGTCAACATTTAAAAGTGGACAGAAACAAAAGAATACTTGCAACATTACAAAGAATTAATATTTTAGTATATAAAGAGTTCACATAAACCAGAAGAAAATGAACATGTCAAAAGAAATATGGGGAGAGAATACATGGGCATTCACAAAACATACAAACGGATGACAGACATGTGCAAAGTGTTCAATATCCCTAGCAATGAGAGAAAAGGATATAATATGAGGAACCACTTTTTCCATTTAAGTTAGCAAAGATCTAAAGAAAAGATGATACGTGGTGTTCCAAGGATGGAAGTATAAATTAGTACAACCTTTCTGGAAAGCAACATAAAATTATGTATCAAGAGCTTTGAAAAGTTCGTACTCTAACAGAAATTCTTTTAGGAGTTTATCCTAAGGAGATGATCATGGATTTGTACAAAGATTCAGTAACAATGATGCCTAAAACTTGGATAAACTTTAATGTCCAATATAAGAGTGCATTTATAGACTGCTAGGTAGTCTTGAAAAGAAGCTCTTAACGTGAGTTAAGGGTAAGGTGAAAAAAAGGGTAAAAACTGGTGTGTATAATATTTCATTTTGTTTAAAAAATGATTTAATATGCACTAGAAAGGCTGAAACTCCAGAATGTTAACATTGGTTTCCTCTAGGTGACAGGATTATGGGTGATTTTTATTTTCTTTCCTTTATATTTCTGTATATTTAAACTTTTCTACAACAAGCGTATGTATAACTTTAGAGATATAAAGATTGTTAATTGGCGAGAGAAAAAAAAAAACTAAAAGTTTTGCCATGTTCTAAGGTTGATGAAGACACAATTTAAGTGGAGATGAAAACATCATTAAGCTGTTTACTCTAATGAGAATCACTTGAAACCCAGCTATTTTTGGAAGACGATAGCATAAAAGCAGGTGGCAGAGAAAAGCACTGAAGGCTGTGCTCTGCAAACGTGGACAGTTTGAAAAGCCAAAGAGTTTTTCAAACAGCAACAAAAAGTATCCAGCCTACATACCTGGCACTAGAAATTAGAAGAGAACTCATATGGTAGACCTAGTTCCCCTGGTAGAGCCTCTACTCATCAAGCAATAGGCTTTGGGGCTTATTTCATTCACATGGTCTTTATTTTGTTATCACTGCTTTTAAACAACGACAGAGACTTTTGATCTGTACCATGTTTTAGAATCCCCATCCCTGCTTCTCCAGAGGATGCTACAACAAAGAGAGAGGAAGGAAGGATGGAAACCACTGAACACAGAATGAATCTAGTAACAGCCACAGATGAAAGATGGGACAACCATATACGGGTAGATGAAATGTAGTTTGTTTTTAATAAGAAGTAACCTTAAAAGTAACTTGGAAAAGAAATTTTTTATAAAAATCTAAGACGATGACATGATCAAAATCTACCAGTTAAGTTTTTCACAAAACCCCAGTCATTAGGTCTTCCCTGTTGTAAACCACTGGCCTTTCCACTTGGCTCTCTCAAGTGCCATGAATTTGTCATCATACCTGCAAATCCAAGGACTCAACTCATGAGTCCTTGCTAATCTCCTTTATCAGTGATCCAATCTCATCTTCATTGTCAGTTTCAATCTCTTCGAATATGACTCCAATATTTATATCAACCATTGATTGAGAGTACGTCATGTTCCCACAATTTGCTGCATGGGCAGCAACAGAAGACTCTTTCCTGAAATTATTTACAGCACTGTCGGGTAGAGGGTGAAAGAATCAGAGAGGAGTGAACACAAAACACCCATGGAACTAGAAATAAACACAGGAGGACTTCAGCACAGAGTGCAAGCTGCAAGAGTGGGAAGGCTTCCTGGAGGTGGCAGAGCTTGAGCTGTGTCCCAAATAATGAGCACCTAGACAAGGGAGGCATTTGGACTAGAGAAACGCAGGGTACAGAGGTGGAAAGTGAGGGGCGAGGGCGGTCCGCAGGGTAAGTGGAACTGAGTAGGGGGAGAAGTGGAAATAAGCCTGGGTGGGCCGATTATGGAGGATTGTAAAAGCCAGTCAGGAGTTAGATGAGACGCGATATGGTCAGCAATAGGGAATCACTACGGTGAGTGGAAGATGTGGTGCCAAAGGTAGATTTTTAGGAAGGCAGGGCTAATAGCAGTGAGCAGAAAGGGCTGGAGTGGGGAAGGGAGGTGAGGACCCAGGGCACCCCGCAGCAGCGACACAGGAGAGGGAGAGGGTGAGGGCCTTCTCCATTCGTGGCCTCATCCAGCAGCCCTTTGGCAGGTCCCAGTCAGGCCTGGGCTCTGAAGTTATACTGATGGCCAGTGGCAAGAGAGTAAAATGAACGAAAAATGACAGCAAAGGCCTGAATACTGTAATAAAGGAAGGTGCAGGGTGCTGGAGGAGCAGGGAGGAAGGAGAGCTTCACTAGGGAAGGCAGACACAATGTGATGGCTGAAATGACTTCTGGGTTTGCAGCCGCAAAAATGATCAGACCAGTCCTTAGTGGGAGAGCTCGGAATGGTGGCATCTTGGGGGCGGGGTCTCCAACCGTTTACTCCTGTCCAATTAAACATGACTGTCATTGCAGGATGTGGGGCCAGCTGTCCTACTGTCACCTCAGTGACCTTGATAAAGGTGAAGCTCCCCGTCATCCATTTCCTCCAAACTCTTACTTCTACCCAATCTAGATTACATTTCTCCCACCTTCCCTCAGGATCCCCTCCTGAGCTCTCTTCTCATGTTCTACCCAGGTGGTCAACTAAACGGATTGTCTTGTATCAAAATAAGTTTCACTGCCTGTTTCATCCTCTATAACTACAGCCCAGGAAAGTTCTAGAAGTTCTGATTTCTAAAATCAGCTGGTTTACAATAAAGTCCCTGCAGGAATGTACATATTACCATTAAAATGGTAACAGTAGCAGCAACGCACATTACTATGGATCAGTCACTAGTCACCGTGCGAAACACTTTATACATTTAACCCTCTCTGCAATGCCACGAGATGGGTGGTAGTACTGTTCTATGGTTGCAAAGGGGGTTAGGTAACTTGCCTAAGGTTACTCAGTGGGGGAGTCGGTGTCCAAACCTGGAGACCCCGCTACTAGCCTCCAGGCTCTCTGCTGCCTCCACCTGAATGGTCAATGCCTGCTTGCTCTGCGGTGTCCGCTCCTTTCCTCCTCCCTGCGTTTCCCCATCAGAGTCTGGCAGCTCTGGAAGCCTCTGTCCAGCAAGTGGAGAGACTTGCTTGTGCTTCCTCCTCCTCCCAACCTCTGCCCACAGAGTACGGAGGCCTGCTTTCCCCCCTCCGCCTCTTCCACTTCCCCCCTCCCCCACCTCCTCCTTCCTCTAATCTTTGTCCTCACTATTCTGTGCCACAGGTCATCTCTCACTCCCAAAGCACAACACGAGAAGCTCAGAAGTTTGGACCCATTCTAGACATGCTTTTCGAGAGCTCGATGCTAATAGTTTCCTCTTCCTCCCCCTGCTTCGTCACGACCGTCACCATCACTGCTGATGTTATCGAGCACTTATCCTGTGTTAGGGATGCGCTCAGACCTTCACGTGGATCCTCGCATTTGGTCCTCATCTTCCTGTGGGACGGGAATTTTCCGGCCCACTTTACAGTTTCCAAGGTCCTACAGCCATGAGGTAGCAGAGCCACAAAGTATCTCAGGGTATTTTGAGCCTGGCTTCCTAACTGTCACAGGTTATAGCTTAACTTAAGTCCCCAGTGCTCTAAGTGAACTGGGTTTGAAGTGTTGTGACTGTGAGTCCACCTCCTAGTAAAAAGCTCTTGCTGGGATTCCTCTCTGCTTCCTTCTGATGGCGGCTTTACAAAGTTCTGTCCTCCCCTTTCCATCTGAGCGAATCTAAATCTGTCTGCCAGCCTCACCGCCTCTCACATTTAGTTAACAAGCACCTAATGTGCATTTGCTATTTTCACTGGTGTGAAACTAACTGCCCCTTGGTGGTGTGTCTAAACCAGCATTATTCAAACTTGGGCACCACTTCCTTGGTCAGTGGAGTACACTGTAGATAAAAAAGGGCAAAACTTTTCTGTTGTTGTTTAATTGAAGTGTTTCACATACGTGGCAATCACAGAGGGTTCATTTTAATTCACACCAGAAGGATGAGTGATAGGTCTGAATGGAACCTGGACAGTTGTACTACAACATCCTAACTTTTTAAAAAACAGAAACACGTCCATGTTTTATGGTAGAGTAATTAGTAAGAAAATGTATAAATTACTTAATTCCTTAAAATGATGATCAGCTTTTATTAATGGGATAAATTATGGCTACACTGGTTTCACATGGAGTTAGGTGGATACTTTGGGGATTCAGTGGGATTTGGACTCACTCTGCTCGATCTGCAAACTCAGTAATTAGATAAACATCAGCTTAGAAGGGACACAAATCACTCAGTGTCTGCTCATCGCTGCAAGGAACTGTGCAGTCTTTTTTAAGATGTGGTTTTAGAAATGAGAGAATCCTGGATCCCTTGGAAGCACCTGTTTTTCAAGGTTTCAAAGATATTTTTAATATGTTTCTCTTTTTCTTGAAGCTACAAATGTCATGATGATCCCAACACACTATCAAAAGCTACTGGCCATTCTTCTCCCTTCCATCTTATTCTAAGCCTCAGCAGGCATTCTCCAAATTCAAAATACTGAAGCATCATGAGCTCCAAACCTCCCTTGCGGATGCTGACAGACCACAAACTTGACCGACCCTATCGCTCCTTGGGGCCAGAACTCTCTTCCGTCATGGGTCCTCTTCATTTTTATCCCTGCTAAGCAGTCTGGTGGAACTCAGTTTGACATGTTACCAGGAACCCAGTACTATTCAAAAATGCTACCCGAGAGGGCATGTCTTTCAGTTTGTGCTGATGATTACATTTGAGAAGCTCTGGCGAGTGCAGACCTTTGTGCTCATACTATTAAAATTGTCACAATTACTGAAAAATCTTTTTCTGGATGTTTGCCTATGGCTCTACCACAGGAATTACCAACATGAGTTTTGTGATGCCTGGATTAAAAAACAAAGGGCACTGACATTCTAAAAAAGTGTCCCTGAAAAAATTAATATTAAATGTATATAATTAAAAATATGACTAAATGAGACTCCAAAAAGCTTGAAAACACTACTGTGATGTATTTGTCCAAATGTGATTCAGAACACGACAGGTGAATTTTAGAAATCTGGACACCTATCATAGGTCTTTCTGAAATTCTAGGACTCTGGGAGTAGAGCCAATAGTTTTTATGCTACAGTTTCTCTTGCCACCAAATTTGGAATGAAATTTTATTACTAAATATGTATGGAGAATCCTCAACTACTAAAATTGTACTAATTTTAATTAATAAAATATGTGTACATTGAATTGTTAAATTTTAAATCTTCATGTCTCAAGCACCAGGCAGCTCTCTAGCACTATCTGAGAATAAGAATTAACTGTTCTTTTGTTTTTCCTACCTTAGAGAAAAAAATGCCTGAGTAATTCTTTTGTTTTTAAAAATATTAATATTTCTGACTATTTAAATATATCTACATATTTAATGGTATATTTGCATACATGTTTTAAATGCACACAGTACATATGCACAGATACACATATACCAATAGAATAAACATAAAAAGGTTCTTATAAGAAATTTTATCTGTCAGCTGATTCAAAGCATAAATAACAGGCTAAAATTTCCAAATACTTTGAGACCACCGGAAGACCCTGTGGTACTTTGTGTAATCACATAATATTTAGAAGTCTATCCTTATGCCTAATAATAGAAATGTCATCAAATATCATAAGGCAATGAAATAAAAGTGATTTCTTACTGAATACTGGGAAAGATGTATTTCCTTTTAACACCTGGAATTCTTGTTCTAGTCGTCTCCGCAAATCTATTTGTTCAAATAAAACCTTCTGAAGTTCTTCTAATAAAGAAAAAAAGAAGAGTCATTTTACTAATCTTTACAAATAACTCTCCATAGAACTGTTATATATGGCAATTTATTATTATAAGACAAAATATTTTACCAGTTTAAAAAGTGTCGCATAGACATAGGATAGATTTTGTGCAGAAATCCATGAATATAAATCAATGTAATGTATTATTTTAAAGTATTATTTTACAGTGTCATGTATTGATTGATATGTATGCATTAATCTCAATTATATCCACCCCATGGTCTATATATTATTCATATGTTGCTTGTCAAGCTTAAAATATACTGTAGAACAAAAATATCCTCCTATTATCGCTTTAGTCTTTTAAAGCTAAGAGAAGTTTTACAGAATTAAAACTTTTCTTTACCTTTCCCCATATTTTCTACATCCTTTCTGAGTGAATGAGATGAATTTGTCTCTTGTGTGTGTTCACCTTTAAAAAAAAAGGAGAAAAAAAATATTAGTTTTGTGTAGGCTATTTTCTGCAAGTTGTTATTTTCACTTTCTATTAATATCTACAAAAGAGTTTTTTAAATATAACTTCAAGGTGGAAGTCCAAATGTTGTCCTCATTTACTCGTGTATCATTCCCCTGAACCATGGAGGGGAGTGACAGAAAATGAGGGCCGAGTCCACCTAGACTGCGACGACAGCTCCATGAAAGCAGACTCCTGATGTCAGCCTCCCTCCCAGCCCCTACCACTGCCCAGCCTTTACAACCAAGCTAACTGCTAGAAGGGCAAAAGAGGAGGTTGAACAGCTGACATTTCTGGGAGAAATCTGATCAGACTCCCTCTCTTTCTAGAAGTGAAGAAGCCTGATTTTATTGGGAAGGCACCCAAGACCATGGGAACAGAAGCCTCCAGCCTTCTTGGGCCATCAAAATGTGGGGTGGTGAAAAAGAAGTGGGAGGAGGCTTTAGCTGTCCCTAGGAGAGAAGTTATGAGCCTGGAGTGGTTTCCTAATAATTGATAGCTTTTTAAAAAAGAAATCAATGGAAAAGAAAGAAGTGAAATAAGTTGTTACTTTGTAATAGTCATATGCTTGCTGATGATAGTTTCTTAACTACTTGTCTTAAACAGTATAAACTGTTTTGTGGATAGAAGTTAGATTGCTGTTCTTACCTATTTTGCTTCTGTGCTAACTAGAATGATGACAAGCTAAGAAAATGTATATATCTACAGTCATAAATTGAGTCTATATAATCCAGAAAACACAAAGAAATGCAATCATTCTGCTATCAGAATTAAAAAAAGGTTTCAACTTGTTATCTGCAATTACCCACATAATTTAATTAAGCTTTCCATTTTCATCTACAGAGATATGGCTGTGCAGACAAAGGTGCTCTGAGAAGGTTTCCTCTATCCCTCTCCCCTGCTTCCCAGGTTAGCTCTTCCATGTCCTTGGTGCCGTTTGCTTCCAGCCTTCTGCACCTACTAGGCAGGCTACCTGGAGGCAGGGCTCTGTCTTTTCTGCATGGCCAGTGCCTTGCACAGTGCTAGACACATACTCATATTCAATAAAGTGTCTTCAGCTGTCACTGAAAGGGACCCTAGGAGGTCGCAAATTCTAAATCATAGCACAAGTTAGATGCATCGTTTCAATTCTGTTCTCATATCTTTTCATTTCACTTCCTCAGCAAGAAATGCAGTGAAATGGTCCCGGGCACTTCCAGGAATACTGGGGAATTTCATTGTCAAGGGAAAAATTTCTGCAAAGAGGGAAACAGAATTTCTTCCCAAAGTAGCAGCCTACAATATAAAGGACGGACAGAAAAGTCCTCAACGTGATATTATAAATGGCGATTCTGCAGTCCACATGATGACTGTCAGGGGTATGTGTGCACAGGTATGCATGTGTGCATATGTGTGTATATGAAAATACAAATGTACAAATATTCCCAAGCGTGTGCACAGTTATGGGAAGGCACTTCCTCTGGTTCCCCATCATCAGCACAACAATATCCAGGGCATCCTGAGTTCCTTAATGGCAGCCATTTTCTGTACTATCTAGATCATATTTGCACAAACTTATTCTCATTTTCATCTTGGACATGACCTCTCTCTGTAGGCTTTTGAACATTAATACCTTGGCTTTCTTTTCCATATAATAAATAATGAGGAAATACTGGTGAAGCATTTTAAATACAGACCTCAACGTAATTCCTACAAACTACTATTATCTAAAAGAAGAGTAACACAAAGGTTGGTAACAAATCGTAAATGTATAAACCAAGAGTAATGATATTTTTAAATGAAGATAAATGCATATTATGTGCAGTTTTACCTATGTTTACTTTAGCCTCAGTTAACCAGATGTTAAATGCATAGATGTTTCATACCCACATATAATATTGAGGTTGAACAAGAAAAGAAATGAGCATGCACACATCTCTGCATCTATCTACAGAGCATGATGAGATTTTATCATTCTATAACTTTCCCAACCCCTCAAGACATGATTTAAATGAGATAGTTAGTTTCTGAATAGGCAACTCTAGAAGCCATTTCCTTATCACATTAGAGATCAGCTTCTTTTTGACCTACTAGTGTATTTTGTGGACTATTTACCTTATATTACATTTCAACTAGAAAATTAACTTAAAAAATCAAAATAATATATGTAAAATTGCACTTCTTTTCTACTTCACAGTTAGGAGGTTTACATTGGTATGAAGCATTAAACAAATAGCTAGTAAATAACACTATATTAACCACAGGTGAATCTACCGATGACATTAATAAGCTTTTCATCTGCTTTGTGAAGGATTAATTAATATTTTACATGTGTCTATTTGAAACAGGTATTTTGCTGCAACTTCTCAGAAAAATCTGTCAGTTTTGAGCTTAGAAGATTCAAATTTCTCACTTGCAAAGCGTTTTAAAAAATGGTTCAATGTTAGGTAAATAAGGAGCACAGAAGCTTCAGCTGCCTTTTGTGTATCTTTCTCTGGACCGTTGCCTTTTGCGTATTACTAATCTGTGAAAACCAGATTGTTAATGGTGGTTAAAAATGACCTCTGGGAGCCTGGATATGTTTGTTCACTATTACTGCTAATGTTTTCCATCTGTTTTTTTTTTTTTTAAAGAAAGGCAGTCTAATACTAGTTTAAATAAATGAGATTTAGTTGACAGTGAGCTTTCCATTTTTATAAATATTCCATTAGGTTAAATGCATTTTACTTTTCCAAAATTAATGAATGCACTTGCAGAAATCCCCGAACTAAAATTCTTACTTTCCTTCCCATTATATTCCCCCTTTAAAAAAAAGTGACAAGGGCTTCCCTGGTGGCGCAGTGGTTGAGAGTCCGCCTGCCGATGCAGGGGACACGGGTTCGTGCCCTGGTCCGGGAAGATCCCACATGCCGCAGAGCGGCTGGGCCCGTGAGCCATGGCCGCTGAGCCTGCGCGTCCAGAGCCTGTGCTCCGCAACGGGAGAGGCCATGACAGTGAGAGGCCCACGTACCGCCAAAAAAAACAAAAAAACAAAAAAACAAAAAAACAAAAAACGTGACAAAAAGGCCAGGGTGGAGGGGGGCCATAGAGATCTTAATTGTAAAAGAAAATAGTTGAGTGGCTTAAAGTTGGAGAGTGATGTATAATTAGGGCATAAAAGGCATCCAGTGGACGGATGTGATGAGGACCTGCTGCTCAGGGATGAGTCCACACCAGTTCTCCACAAGCACATGCTCACAGGGCCAGTTAACTGTGACCTGCATCGTTGCCCATGAATCCTGCTCGCCCCAGGAGGGCAGAGGCAGTGTGATGCCACATCAGAGAAACTATACCTCTGCTGAGTGCAGGGAGCCTGGAGCCACATGGTCCCTGCTTCCCTGGTCTCTCCAGGGTCCTCCAGGGCCAGGTGGTCCCACATCCCAGGGGAATGCTCCACCCCACCCTTGGATCGGCCCTTACACAGCCATCAGAAATTGGAAGTACAAGAGGGATGGATGTGACAATACACCATGCCAAATCAGACATGAACAGTAAATAGCAGATGAAGGGGAGACTGGAGTATCCAAAGGGGAGGAAAAAAAAAAAAGACCAAAACAACCAATAGATTCACCAGCACTACGTTTCAAGGCACAACGGTAATGAGTTTCTCTTAAACATTATGGCACACCTCTGCTCAAGAACCTGCATTGTTTCCCCGCGGTCTACATTGCAGAATCCACTCAACTCCTCCCCGGGAGACTCCAGGTTCTCCTGTAACCTTGTCCCATCCGGCTCAGCCAACCTGTATTTCTCTGTCACTAAGCACAAACCTTTTTCCCCAAGACAGACTCTTATTTCTCACATCTGCTGGCTCTGCTTTATGTTGTTTCTCTTCCCTAAGGTGTCCCCCTCCTCTCCCCATCCACCCCAAATCAGAAAGCCACCCAAGTGTCATTTACTCTTTCATAAAACCTTTCCCAGCTTCTTCGGATGCCACTGATCTGTTCCTTCCTGGGCTGAAGTTCTAAGTCCTTGTCATCTTTATTCTGCCACCTTGTACCCAATATTCTAAGGCTTCACCTATGCTAGTCTGATCTTCCCCAGCTAGAAAATCTGCTTTCTGAAAGCAGCGAGATCCTGCCCTACAGGTAGCCCCCATCACCTCAAACCGAGGGAGGGGAACAAATGTACTCCACACACACTTCTTGTACTTGATTTAATCCAATTTGGTTTGTGAAAGAAATACAAACTAATGCTATTGTAAATCCTCAGTTGTCATAAGGTTTTTAAAGCACTAACTCATTCCTACGAACGAACAAGCACATTTTGATCCACTGTATGGTCTAAGAATTACTCTGTATTTTCAGTTTACTGGGGAAGTTTGTGAGTGTTTCCATTTTTGTTCCTATCTGACATTTTGAAAATTTCTTTCAGGGACAAATAAAACTGTAGCACTGAATGTTAACTGAGACATGAAAATACTAATTCACGTATGTGTCTGCCGTGGCCTCCAGCAGCAAAAATACCTTACAATTTTTAAAAGCTCACTTAATTTTTTTTTTTTTTTTTTTGCGGTACGCGGGCCTCTCACTGCTGTGGCCTCTCCCGTTGCGGAGCACAGGCTCCGGATGCGCAGGCTCAGCGGCCATGGCTCACGGGCCCAGCCGCTCCGCGGCATGTGGGATCTTCCCAGACCGGGGCAAGAACCCATGTCCCCTGCATCGGCAGGCGGACTCTCAACCACTGCGCCACCAGGGAAGCCCAGCTCACTTACTTTTAAGAGCCAAATGAGTAGGTCAGATGACCCGTTCTGTTGGTGGTCATGAGATGGGAGGAGAAGTTGATTAAAAGATATTACTGTTCTCAAGCTAAACTTGAATTCAATAAATAAGATCATTTGAGTATTGTACCCTGTATGTGTATAGGGCATCAAAGTATATAGGGTACAATATAAAATGCCTGACATTGGACGAAGAGTAAACATTTTAGCATTCACCCAT